GTGTGTTGTATGTGGAATTTATTAGGGAAAACAAGGCCTGACACACATCTTTTAAAATTAATAGCCTCTACATTAACTAATGAAATGGGTGGCCTCGATTTGGCCCTGCACTCAGATTTTGGTGTTCGGCCTCCCCATTTAGATCAGCATGTGCTCCTTTTTAAAATCCTCACTCAAGGATATTTTTTCTATTGATTTTTTTTTTTTAAGAGAGTGAAAGAGAGAGGCACACCTTTATTCTGGAATGTAAACAAATCCTTTCTAGGGAAAGGAGTGGACAATCTCTAATCTCTACTTTTCCTTTATTACCATGCAATGCAAGCAAATAGCTTCTGGGAGAGGTAAGCTCCTAAATCTCATTGGAGCAATACACTACCCCTGACTTCTGAGGCATTTTTTTTTAAATCTCCCTTTAGCCAAGTGTGCCAGTGCTCTTTGCTCAGAAAGCCCGAAAACATGCAGAAACATGAAAACATTCATGGGTAATTATCTTCCAGAACTGCGAGGGTTGAAACCACAAATGTCAACATGTGACCTGTTCATAGCTCCCAATATACACAGAATTTAACTCAGAGGATGCTGAGTAAGTACTCATTCAAGAAATGGAAATGCAGGTGTGAAAAGATGGAGTGGGAATGAGATGAGGGAAAGACAAGACTATTCCTTCCCATCAAAGGACATTGCTACTAATCTCTCTTTTCTAACACTAATTGGGCAAATGTTATTTAAAACCATGATAGGCAAGGGGTTTGGCACATGGAGGACATGAAATAGGGTGGCCAAATTGTCTGAATATCAGTTGTAGCCCAGAAAGTTCAGCATCCCGGGAAACCCCCCAATCTGGGCAAACCAGGATGGTTGGCCACACTGCAGATGGAGGCACCTTTCTTCTCTAAAGAACTTTGTAATCTAAAAAGAAATCAGCTTCACCATCCGAAATATTTATTCATGCCTTAAGAAAGGTGAGAATGCCAAAGCCGGTTTGGCTCAGTGGATGGAGCGTTGGCCTGTGGACTGAGGGGTCCTGGATTCGGTTCCGGTCAAGGGCGTGTGCCTTGGTTGCGGGAGGCTGCTGATCCATGTTTCTCTCTCATCGATGTTTCTGGCTTTCTATCCCTCTCTCTTCCTCTCTGTGGAAAATCAATAAAATATATTTAAAAAAATAAGATATATGCAAACTTAAAAAAAAGAAAGAAAAGAAAGGTGAGAATATAGGGAAACGAGAGAGAATATACAGCTGGGCTGTCAGGAAAAGTTTCATGGCACCAGTGCCATTGTGTGAAAGCATAGATATAGGGAATGACAAATAAAAATCTATAGCTTGCCGGGGACCGGTTTGGCTCAATGGATAGAGCGTCGGCTTGGGGACTGAAGGGTCCCGGGTTCGATTCCAGTCAAGGGCATGTACCTTGGTTGCGGGCATATCCCCGGTGGGGGTGTGCAAGAGGCAGCTGATCGATGACTCTCTCTCATCGATGTTTCTAACTCTCTATCTCTCTCCCTTCCTCTCTGTACAAAATCAATAAAATATATTTTTTAAAAATTCTATAGCTTAATGAATTATTATAAGGCACACACACCCTTATAAACACCATACAGCTTAACTCATGCATGTAATGTATACTACACTTTATTTTAAATATATTTGGTGAAAGACTGGTGATAGTCTGGGATGGAGAGAAAGTGTGTCACAGTAGAGGTTTTGTTCTTTTATTTCCATTTGGCATATTCCCATTTGGCATATTTATTTAATTTTTCTTTTAAATCTCTTAGTAAAGTTTGTTAGTTTTATCTTACATTCCTTGTTGAGGCTATTCCTAGGCATAGTCTCATCGTGAATAGCATTATTTTTTCCATTACATTTAAAAATATATATATATTTTATTGATTTTTTACAGAGAGGAAAGAAGAGGGATAAAGACTTAGAAACATCAATGAGAGAGAATCATTAATCAGCTGCCTCTTGCACACCTCCTACTGGGGATGTGCCTGCAACCCAGGTTGACCGGAATTGAACCTGGGATCTTTCAGTCCGCAGGCTGACACTCTATCCACTGAGCCAAACTGGTGTCGGCTCCATTACATTTTTAACTGACTATCGTTGGTATACTGGGAAACATTTATTAATATTTTTATCTTGTATCCAGCCACTTTCCTGAATTATTTTATAAATCTTTCAGAAGTATCTCTCACTGCCCCCTTATTCACAGACTGTGAAGCAGGAAAGAGAGGTTTCTGTGGAGGGGAATAGAGGACTGGTTTGGCTTGTATAGGGCAGTAGATGGCTCCCATACAGTGTGTTAATTCCATATGTAGTGATAGTCCCCATATGGGGGTGAGGAAGAGCAGCAACTCAAAGATTCTGAGAAGCAGAAAATAAAGGATGTTAAGATGAGCCCCTTTGACCTTTCTACTAGCATCGGAAAAGGAAAAGGGGGTTCCTCTGCTTCTCTGGGAGAGAGGCAATGGTGGTGCTTAGGGCAAAGTGCCTTGGCAAATGTGTCAGGCAGAGACTCAGGGCACTGCAGGGGCAGCTAGTGATGCTTTGGTGTTACTGAAATTGTGACTAGAAAGGCAGGCCATGGTCTAGCTGGCTTCGTGAAGTCCTGATATCAGTGATGAATGAGCCTCTTGAGCATCACAGTGTGCAGCAAAGAACAGTAGCCAGAGCTGACTGGACATTGATAGGTTGGTGGAAAGAGATAAATCCCGACTGTGATGGAACTTTGACCACATGCGGGCAGCCATCTTGTATGTTGGAGTGATGGTCAATTTGCATATTATTCTTTTATTAGATAAAATAGAGGCCTGATGCATGGATGTGGGCTGGCTGGTTTGCCCTGAAGGGTGTCCTGGATCAGGGTGGGGGTTCCCTTGGGGTGTGGGGCAGCCTGGGCGAGGGGTCTATGGTGGTTTGCAGGCCAGCCACACACCCTGTGGAGGCCCTGGTATCTGGGGTTTATTTATCTTCTACAATTGAAACTTTGTAGCCTGAAGCAGAGCCAAGCCTTCTGCTTGCTCTGGGGTGGCAGCCATTTCGGTTGGGACTTATTTATATTCTATAATTGAAACTTTGTAGCCTTAAGCGGAGGCCAAGGCCGGCCAGGGCAGATGGAAAGCTTGGCTTTCTTCTTTGCCAGGGACAATCCTAGTCTCCTTCTATCTCCAGTTCCATGGCTGTTGCCATTTTTGTTGGAATTTATTTATTTTCTATCATTGAAACTTTGTAACATTGAGTAGAGGCGTGGGCCTGCAAATGCAGGCGGAAAGCTTGGCTTTCTCCATTGGTGGAGCTATCTTGGTTGAGTTTATTTGCATATTTGCTCCTGATTGGCTGGTGGGCATAGCTTGTGGGTGTAGCAGAGGTATGGTCAATTTGCATATTATCTTTTTATTAGATAGGATAATGGGAATGTATGCCTATAAAAATATTTTTATTGATTTTAGAGAGGAAAGAAGACGGAGAGAGAGATAGAAACTTTAGTGTTGAGAGAGAATCATTGATCTGTTGCCTCCTGCATGCCTCCTACTGGGGATTGAGCCCAAAACCCGGGCATGTGCCCTTGACCTGAATTGAACCTGGTTTGCAGGCCGATGCTCTATTCACTGAGCCAAACCAGGTAGGGCCAAAGATCCTGATTTTAAGAGTAACTATCTGTGGGAGCGGAGAACTGAGGCACAATCAGGACTCCTGGAGCAGGACAGGGAGAGGATCGAACTCCTGTGGATCAGGAGGCCTGGTAGTGCTCCCCACATCTAGAAGGCGAGTGAGAGTAGGAGTGAGACTGAAAGGCCCCAGGATAGTGCAGCCATGGCAGGCAGGCCTTACAGTTCTCTCCGCGGGAGACTCAGGAGTGAGGGTCAGCATGATGTTGCAGCTCTGAGAGCCTGATGGTGGCGGAGAAAAGAGTGGCCTTGGAGCCCAATGAAACGGGGCCCTGCCACTCCCTGGAGCAGAGCTTCAGTTTCCTTAGCTGTAAAACGAGGAAAGTCCTGTCTACCCGCAGTGGGTTGTTACAAAGATTGAAATACACTAACTTCTAGAGCTGCCCTAGGATACAGTGGAAGTTGAATAATAAAAGGTAGTATTGCCGGGACCGGTTTGGCTCAGTGGATAGAGCATCGGCCTGCGGACTGAAAAGTCCCGGGTTCAATTCCGGTCAAGGGCATGTACCTTGGTTGTGGGCACATCCCCAGTGGGGAGTGTGCAAGAGGCAGCTGGTCGGTGTTTCTCTCTCATCGACGTTTCTAGCTCTCTGTCCCTCTCAATTCCTCTCTGTGTAAAATCAATAAAATATATTAAAAAATAATAATAAAAGGTAGTATTACTATTCAGTGGAGACCTGCAGGGGTAATGGAAATGCTTCATGATTCACTACTATAATAGATGCTTGACCAATAGATGCTGGGTGAGATCAGGCTGATTAGAGACTCGCTAAGGGCAATCCGAAGATTTATCCTGATTGGTCTTCTGAGAGAGAAGACCCTGGGGATGGAGTTTCCGGAGACAACTCCTCTGCCCCGCATATCTAAAACAACAGACATTTTGGAAAGGGGGGAGGGGAATGTTAACATTTGCCATGACATTGTTTTCCCCTGAGCAGGGAAGAAGGCAAAGACTGAAGATGTGCAGTGCCTGATAGGAATGAGAATGCCAGCGATAAGCATGTTTTCCAAGGTTCCCAAGAGACTCTGTGGGGCTCACCGTGGGGTCTTAGACTCCTGGGAGGATGGCGGGTGGAGAACTGCAGAGCGCCCCCTACCCATCTCCTCATGGACAGCTTCAGTTGCAGAAGCACCAGGAGCACCAGATGTAATAACCAGAACCAGAGGCTTCCTGCTTACGGATATGAGGGGGGAGATGGACCAAAATAGCTGAACCACACCAAGAAGCCACCCCTTCCCTCCCGGAGCCCCTTCCTACACACCCCGTTCTAAGTAACGTCCACCCTCCCTGTGAATATCCGCAGAAAGAAGAAGAATAGACATTCTTGGCGTTTGTAGTAACAGGATGAGAAAGTGCGAGACTTCCTGTTATGCGTGTGTGACAGCTGGTGATAAGTGCAGGGCCCTTACACAGGAAATCCGCTCAGCTTCTGCAATGTGACCTGCCTGAAACTTGGGCGCTTCTCCAGTCTGGATGTTGATGGCAGGACAAAGGGGCATCTGGGCTATGGGTGACGTGGTGGAGAAGAGTTTGGAAGAGCCACTGGCACCTCCTGCGGACGAACCCTCCCAGAAGAGGGGAGACCTGGTGGAAATCTTAAACGGTGATAAGGCAAAATTTGACGACACGGGACTCTCCTTGATTCTGCAGAACGGCCTGGAGACCCTCCGCGTGGAGAACGCTCTGACAGATGTCATCTTGTGTGTGGACATCCAGGAATTCTCCTGCCACCGCGTGGTGCTTGCTGCGGCCAGCAACTATTTCAGGTCAGCCCGCCTCAGGCCGGGGTCACGTTGGGGCGTGAGTTATCGGGAATCTCTGTGTCCATGCGAGAGCCCAGCCTAACGAGTTGGCTGTTGAAGTTATGGCTTGTCTATCTAGGTAGGCTTGTGTGTCTAGTCAAGATATAAGAACGAAAGCCATCCAACCTTAGATTTTTAGAACGTAAGCCATGTTAAAAGAGATTAGTGTTACTTCAAAGCAATGTTTATCTATTTTGGTAAACCTTCTGTGTGATATGTCCTTGTTCCCGAGGATGGAAAATTACCGAAGTCATGGGGATTTCCCACCCGCTTTGGTCTGACGAGTATGTTGGAAACATGATGTTGTATTTTTCACCAGTGGAGGTAGAAAAAAGGATAGGGCCCCTCTTGTGCAGTTTTCAAATGACTTGCTGAAAATCAGGGATTTCTGTGTGTGCTGAGGGGGTGGGTGGGAAGGGAGAGCTGTTGCAAAGGTGCTTTAGGAGAGAGAGGCTCCTACTTACAACCAAGTCGGAGGCCTGGGCTGCATGCCACTCTGCCCCTTCCTGACCATGGGACTTCATGCAAGTCACTCACTGCTCCAAGTTTCTGTTTTGTTGTCTGCAGGATGGGATTGTTGTGATAATCTGAGACACACTCGCCTAGTGTATAGTAGATGCTCACTGTAACTGTGGAGATTTGTCACCTCCTTCTGCTTGGTGGAACTAAGAACCAATTATTGAGTGGCTACCATAAGCAGATGCCTAGGGTAGGAATGGGGGAGAATCAGGAACCCAGTGGATCCACCTGATCCAGATTAATGTAGTCACGATGGGAACAGGTCCCCCAAGGAAATATGGATGAAGAGCTATTTTGGGGGATTTGAAAAAGAAATAGCCTTATAAATATTCTCAAAGAGATTGTCCTTCACTCTTGTTTCTGGCTGAGGAAATGAAAAACCATTTACCTTTGTACATATCATCAAAGTGCTTTCTTTAAAAAAATTTTTTTTGAGATGCTTAAGAGAATATTTTTCGTTGGAATTCAAAGAACAGGGTGAGGAGGTTGTTGTGGAACTGATTAAACCCCATCTGCAGACAAGGCAAGAGGAGGGCTGGGCTTGTGGGAAGTGGTGCTTGCTAAGTGCCAGACAGACAGCCACCTGATTTTATTTTTGCAGCAGCACCATGAAGGCGGCTGATGTGCCCTCTTACCGAGGAGGAAATGGCAACCCAGTTATTACATATCTGGCCGTTGTTGGAGCAGGATTGGGCACGTTCTGGAAATACTTGTTTTTACTCCAGCACAAACTGCTACTAAGTTTTGGGCTTCATTCCACAGGAAGCATATAAAAAGTAAAGCATAGGCCCGGCGGTAACGATGGGTTGACATGATAAACACATCACTTACTCCATCAATATTGACCACATGCTTTCACATGGATCACAACCTCATTGCGAAGTGAATGAAAGCTAGCTTAGCTCTGTGGCCCCAGGACTCACTTTGAGAATGTTTCTTTCTCTTTTGAGCGCTGGAAAACGCTATCATAAAATGTATACCCGATTGGCAGTTCCTGCCAGCTGTGGCACAGGACTGCTGGCTGTGTGTTCTTGAGTACATCGGTGGCTTCTCTGATCCTTGGGATTCTCATCCTAAACCAAGGGTGTGTGTGTGCTCAGTCCTCCCCATCCTTCTGTGTAGGCTGCTTAGGGAAGAAGAGACTCTGCCAGTCCCCTGAGGAGGTGAAGGCAAGGAGAAGCTGGAGGTGCCCACATGGCACTTCTGCCTGTGGTTGGAGAGTCTCTTCCAAAGCTGCCTGGTCATGAAGGGAAATCCCTTCTACTCTTTTCTTCATTGCAGGGCCTTGATTCTGACCTTGGTATTTCCAAGATGGTTGTCCTCTTCTCCTGAACACATTAATCCTGGAGACAGACTCCTTTTGCTGGTTCTTCTAGTAACAACTTCTGCTGTTCAGCATTCATTTCGGGCCAGGCCCCGGTGCCCCCTACACTGTCCCACAAGGACCTGGGGAGGGAGGGAATGTCGCCCTTGCGTACAGATGAGGAACCAAGGCCTGGGTCTCAGTTAACAAAGCGCCAAGAGGGATCTGAACCTGGACCCACGCTAACTCTGACATTGCCTCACTGCCCGTTTGCTTTGTTTCTAAGATTTTGAAAGGGGTGGAGCGCCAAGTTCCCTCTATGCTCCGCCTTTGAAAGGGCAGAGTGTTTGCTTTGTATGAGAGGCACCGACAGCCCTCGGAGCTGAGGTGGGCCTGGAAGCTGCTTGTAAAATTATGTGTGTGTGTGTGTGTGTGTGTGTTTAAATAAAGCTTTATTCATTGAGAACATAAATATGTTCCCTGAGTGATGGAACCATAATTTATTTAATCAGTCACCTACTGACAGGCATTTGGGTTGTTTTCAATCCCTTGCTTTTACAAACAGTATTGTAATGAATAACCTTAGACACATGTCATTTCACTGGCACTCAAGAGTGACTGGGGTACGTTTCTAGAGGAGGGTTTGCTGAATCAACGAGAAATTCATCTGCACTCATAGTGGCTATTACCCGGTTCTATCGTTTTATACTCCCCACAGTCTTGCCAAAAGAGGATGGCCTCAAACTTGGATTTCCCCCCCTCAGTTTGGTTGATGAGAAACAGTAGCTTCAATGTAGCTTTAATTTGCATTTCTCTTATTTTAAAGAAGTTCTTTTTCTGTGAATTGTCTCTTCATAGCCTTTCAAAGGTTCACATATTTTTTAAAGTTAAAATTTATTTTTATCAAAGTATTACATGCAAGTAGTTATCAGAGCTAAATAGTACTTAAAGGCTTATCATAAAAAAAACAAAAATTTATCTTCACCTCCTTTACCCCAGTATTTTCACAAATATGTCCACCACGCCCCACCATTTTCAACATTTATCTGTTTATTTTGATAGCAAATTTACATTTCTACCAAATATGCTTATATTGCTCTTTCTTGATTTATCAGCGTTAGATGTTTATGAATTCCTAGTATGTCTAATAAGAACTTAGCACTTATACTTAATTCTTTTACCATACACTTTACTTCTCTATAATCTCTTAATATAATATTATCACCTTTTTTGATAAATTTGTAATTAAGAGTTTACATTATGTCCTTAAAAACATTGTTTTCTGTTGAGCCAAATTGTGTGATATGATTACATTTTCTTTCTTGCAAATCTTTTGCTTTTCCTGAAGTTAACAATTCACTTTTTCCATTTGCTTTGGGGATGTCATTTGTTCACAGCCTCTCCATAATAATCTTTCACGTGGTCCAATGAACCAGAAAACCCACCAGTCCCATTTCCCTCCAGAATCTTCCTCACTTCCATCACCCTATACATGTTTTCTGGGCCCGCTGCCCAACTGTTATCTAACTGCATATGAAAACCATGGCAGCAGCCGAAACTGGTTTGGCTCAGTGGATAGAGCATCGATCTGCGGATTGAAAGGTCATGGGTTCGATTCTGGTCAAGGGCATGTACCTTGGTTGCGTGCATATCCCCAATAGGGGGTGTGCAAGAGACAGCTGATCGATGACTCTCTCTCATCAATGTTTCTAACTCTCTGTATCTCTCCCTTCCTCTCTGTAAAAAATCAATAAAATATATTTAAAAAAAGAAAAGAAAAAGAAAACCATGGCGGCAGTAAACAAAGACGAAGTAGTTCCCTTCGAGAGCCTATTCAAAAGTTTCAAGTGGAATGAGGAAGTTGGGAAAATATGTAGAGTTGAGACTGAGAAAAGGGTGAGGGTGAACAAAGCTTTGAAAGTAGCTCATAACATACCTTAAATGTCAGAGAGCCAAATGCCAAGGAGTTCAAGTATGTTCGGGCCACCTTCCAAAGGGTCTCCGTTCAGACCAGGGGTTCTCTCCACTTGGTGGGAGAGGAACTCACTGATGACTATGACACACTCCATACATGATGTTGACCTGTGAGAGCAACCATGTCATGATTCCCAGAGTGGACAGAGGGAGGGGAGTCCTGGTGATAAAAAGAGGGGTCCTTAGGCTTACTGAAGACTGGCTTCTCTTACATAACTATAAAAGCTTCTAGGCTGAGTCAATAGTAAGCTCCTTTGTTGCAGTCAATGTTGAAATCCCTGCCTGGGCTTGGTCCCTGCCTTGTACCTCAGTACTTGTCTCCGGGTTTGGTTCCCTGAGGATATGATGAGGGGACTTTGACTACTTGCTACAAAAATCAAACATGAGGCTAGGACTGGGGAGGGTATTGTGGACACAATCTATTAATCATTATTATATATTAACCAATTACTGGATGGCAGGAAGTGAGAGATTATTCTTTTTAAAAAATATATATTTTATTGATTTTTTTTTTTTTTTACAGAGAGGAAGTGAGAGGGATAGAGAGTTAGAAACATTGATCAGCTGCCTCCTGCATGCCTCCTACTGGGGATGTGCCTGCAACCAAGGTACCGTACATATCCTTGACCAGAATCGAACCCGGAACCCTTCAGTCCACAGGCTGAAGCTCTATTCACTGAGCCAAACCGGTTTCGGCGAGTTTAGATGTTGTAATCCTTTGGTTTTTTCCTCTATAATATGTAAGGTGTCTAAAAAGGAGCCAGCAAGTGTAGGTGATAGAATTAATGTAAAGGAAAACAAGAATGAGTTAAGGCCTTCTGGGTCTGGATTAAAAACCTCGATAATGGCAAAAGTGTTGAGAATTGCTACTGCCACAATTGGTATGCCTGGCAAACTCCAGTGAACTACTGTTTGTACTTTTAGCATTGGGCTCTGTATTTTATATTTTTAATATTTTCTTTTTGGCAGAACCACTAAGGTGGTTATATGTAAGTTCTATAGATCTATGATCCTTGATCTGCCTTCCAATCCCCAAAAAGGTCTTCTCAGTGGGGTTGCAGCCCCAGGGTGGAAGTGCAATCAGGTCCTTTGAATTTTCAATAAAATGTCATCTCCATCCCTGGTGTTTAGGGCATGTGAATCTTCTTTCAATTAAGACCAGAAAATC